CCCTCCTCCTCCTCCTCCTCCTCCTCCTCCTCCTCCTCCTCCTCCCCCTCCTCCTCTTCACCCTCCTGCGATCCCCGATTGCATTGCTCCTTTTGGTCCTCCGTGATAGCTTCCTGCTCGCTCAAGGCTTATCTTCCTCAGGACCCCCTGAAGGCCCAACCGTTGCCCCATCCACCATCCATGTCAACAACAACAACATGACGCATTCGGCCTCCACATTTGGAGCATGCGCGGCCAACCCGATGCGCCCCCCCCACACCATCTTCGTTTAAACAATATTGAATCATGTCCGTGAGGCCCGCGAGCAGTTTGTATTGTTATTGAAAAGGACGGGGGGATGCCAGCATGTTGTCTGCAATGCGCAAGACTACCATCCCTAACAACAAACAGTGCAACATGCACCTCGCGGCTACATCTGGATGATGCACGGCCACACAGCGATCACTGTCAAGTGGATTTTGGCAGACGGCGGGAAGGGAGGGGGGGGGGGTATGGCCTGCTGCGCGCAGGCCCACCAGACACAATGATGGGCACTGCTGTTCGACAAGGATGGCGGGGGCAGACAAGTGTCCCGATGTGTGCTGTCACGTGCGCAGGCGCACCTGACACACTCTGCGCGTGCCCTGAACGTGACGCACCTGGCGCGGCTGGATTATGCGGTACGCCTGGCGCACGCGGAGCACGTGGCGCATCTGGCGCACCAGGCGCGCCTGGCACGCTCGGGCCCCAGGGATGCCTGGCGCTTGTGGCGTGCATGGCACGCGTGACGCACCTCGCCCCAGCGTTGCGCACAGCTGATCGGCTTTGGGTCCCAGTAGCTGCCCATCAAAAGACGACCGCTGAACGTGCTGAGGCTCCGGTGTTACTTATGTGATGGGAGGGCCGGTGGGAGTGATCTAGACGGCTTGCACCAAGGGGGTGTCTTGACCCCTCCGCCCACCCCCTCGCCTGGACCTGGACGGGGGAGTTCGCGAGGTGGCAAAGGGTCTGTTTTCGCCCAAGATGGTTCCAAGAGGGCCACAAAGAGACCAAGATAGTCTCCAAGATCGCTCAAGATAGCCCAACATGGTTTAACAGAGCGAACGGCATGAGTTTAAGAGGCCCCAATACTTCCACAAAGCGGTTCCAAATGTTTTTTGGCGACCCCTGAGAGAAACCCACATCCCTCAAACACCTGATAACTGATATTTGCCTTCTCGCCCTTTCGTTTCTGATGCACTTTTGAGGTCTCAGGATGGCCCAAAGATGGCCCAAGAGAGCTCCAACAAGGGCCTTCGAGGCCCCCAAGACGGCCCCAAGAGTTCCCAAGATCGCCCCAAGGGCCCCGAGAGGCTACTTCGACGGCCCGGAGGGGGAAAATCGAGGACCCCCCTTCCTTTGATCGATGCTCTGCAAGATGGCCCCAAGAGGCGCTCCATAGCTCCCAAGAGGGCCCCAAGAGAGCCCCAAGAGTGCCCCAAGAGGGCCCCATGACGGCCCCAAGGCGCCCCGAAAGAGCCCCCAAACCCACCAAAGAGCCCCAAGAGGGCCAAGAAAAGCTCTGAGCCTGGGGATCGCCCGAAGAGGTCCTCCAAGGCCACCACTTTGCTCACTGAGATATCTCTTGTTAACCCTGATTGCCCGCTGTGTTTCACTACATGTTTCTATTCGTCCCTTTTCCCACCAGCCCTCATGGGCAAGGCTCCTGAATGGGCTGGTGGGGACCCTTTCTGATCGCGACCGCGAACGGGCACCCGCGCGGCGTCGGAAAAGTCACGCTACGAGCAGAACCCGGTGAACACAGCGCAACTGTCGCCGGCCGGACGCGGGAAAACAGGGGCCACTACGCCGAGGCAGCGCGAAAGTGACGAAAACGGGCGGAGAGAGGAGAGAGCGAAGACGACGAAGAAGAAGAAGGAAAAACAAACAAGCGAAGAAGAGAAAGCGGCGACGAGAGAGAGGAACAGAGGGAGCGGGAAAGAGAAGAACAGCCGCAGCTCAGACGTGGAATAAGTAGGAGACCGCCCTAACCTTGTTGTACTTCCTGTCTTTGACGTAAGTAGACTGCGGAGGCCTCGAATCCAATCCAGTTGTCGGATGCCGATACCACGTAATGACAAGGTGACCGCAGAGCCGACGAGTAACCAACGGCGGCACGAGCACGGCACGGCACGGCACGGCTGGTGGGGACTCGCCAAGCGCAAACAATTTCGGAGAATTTCGGACCCCCTCGGCAATTTTCGAAATCTTCGGAGGCCAGTGGGCTGTTCGTGATGGTCATCGAACGGCTCCTGTAATACGGACCATGTGCTGGGAATGAGGGGGTGGATGGCTTGCTCCTTGAGGGTGTGTACCCCGGGCTCTTCATGTCCATCATGGCTTTCTCATGCAATCCAGATTGATACTTAGGGTGCACGGAAAGGAGGCAGCCCCTTGGACGCATATGTCAAATCCTTTCGTGCGGGGTTGGCCGCCGAAAGTGCTTAAATAAGGACCGCAAGGGCAAGTATGCAAGGGTCTCGATTGGGAAGGTGGCACAGCCCTGCTATGGCTTTCGACAGCAGGGGCCTGTTGCTCAGGGTCTCTTCGCCCCTGGGTTTCTTGCATTAGGTCTGGCCTGTCCCTCTACCGGAGGATTTTAGGAGACAAATTTTGAATGCCAGAGAAATGCACCCCAAATGCGCAGAAGTAGTCAAAACCAAATCCCCCTTTACGATTGTTTTACTGTTTTTGAGAATTCCACCTGTCAAGGAGCAGGCCCGACATAATTCTAGCAAGATGTTGGTGCCTCGCCCCGAAGGCTGGGCTCACCGTGCCTAACATCTGCGCAGTGGCGGGCCCGGCGCGATGCAGGCGCCGCCCCGCCCCCCTCCCGCGCGGGCGACTGCTGCCACAGTCGTCGTCGTCGTCGTCGTCGTCGTCGTCGTCGTCGCCGTCGTCGTCGTCGTCGCCGTCGTCGTCGTCGTCGTGGTCGTGGTCGTCGTCGTGGTCGTGGTCGTGGTCGTGGTCGTGGTCGTCGTGGTCGTCGTCGTCGTGGTCGTCGTCGTCGTCCTCGTCGTGGTTGTCGTCGTGGTCGTCGTCGTCGTCGTCGTGGTTGTCGTCGTCGTCGCCCGTGCCGCCTCGGTCGTTCGCCCGTCGCCATTGTCGTGTTGTTTGTCGTCTTCATTTCTGTTGCAGCGGGCGGCCTTTTCTTCTGGACTCCAAGAAGAGTCGGGGTAGATCCAAAAGTAACTCAAAAGAAGTCCTTCAATGCTTGCGGGAGACCTATAGCCTACCGTGATACATAAGGTGGACAGAACCTGCAAAATCGGGGTGACAAGCGGACCACCGAACTGCTCTCTCGCTGAGGCCGCGAAGACCTATAGCCTACCGTGATACATAAGGTGGACAGAACCTGTACAATCGGGGTGACAAGCGGACCACCGAACTGCTCTCTCGCTGAGGCCGCGCTTGATTCATCGTCCTCCCAAGTGTTCCAAGACTCTGGCCCAGAGGGGACACACCGATCTTCGGCCTTTCGCCTAAAGCACATGTAAAAGCGTCCATCCCACCGAGGCCTGGCGAGGTCCGCCCTGCACGTGACTCGCGCTTGAACCCAACGCCGTGGCCTCGGATTCGGACCAGCTGTCCCGAGCAGGCTGACGGCTTCTGCACTCGCGCTGCGCAACGCCCTTGTGCGGCCGATGTTGGAGGACCCGCAGGAAGGGTCCGCGACCTTCGCATGGGAAATCGGGGCGGGGGTGAAGTGCCTGGGGGCTCGGCAAGTGTCGGCCGCGCGCAACAATGCCCCTCAGTCGGACAGAGTAATAGCTTTCGGCACGCGGCCCCAGAGGGCCGCGGAGGGGGGTCCAACTCCGAGCAGTCCAAGCACGCCAGACAGTGCTGGCGGGATCCCTGCGGGCCCGCGCCAGAGGTCGGCGGGGGCAGTGGTTGATGCCGATGGCCGAAAAGGGAGAAAGCCGGCCTGTAATGGACGATGCGTCACCGATGGGTAGGCGATGTGCCCCTGGTTGCGAAACCGCACCTTCCTGGGCGGAGTGGGGCCATGAGACCCCAGTCGGCGATCAGTGGGCGATGGTGGGTCGATGCGTTCTTCCCTGAGCACGCCCCTGATAATCACAGGGCGGGAGTTCCAAAAATCGGGGTCCGGGGGATAATCCGCCACCGCGATTGCAGCGGTAGACGCGCGTCGGGCCCTCTCGCTCCTTGTGGGGCAAGAGTTGGGGCCGCCCGACGCGTCGAGCCCTGGATGCGCCCATGTCTGTTACCAAGTCCTTGCGCTTTCGGCCCCCCGACCAGAAAATGCTCTCAGGAACGAAGTCGGGGGAGGGACCTCCAGTGGACCCCTCTCCGGCGCCCCGTCCCCCCCCCCCCCGGCGCGCGCCCGAGCGCGGCGGCGGAATCGCGCGGCAGCGCAACTCGTATCTGTCCTCGTATCTGTCCGCTGCTCGCCTTCGTGTGATCCAGAATCACGTGAGCGAAACTATCCAGCATATAGTGTCGCAGGGAGCCCGGGGTGCCCGCCGCTCGCATCTTGGAGCCGCGCGGCGAGCGCCGGGGCGAAAAGGACCCGCCGGCCGCCGCTCCCTCCGGCGCGGCGTAGGGGCAAGAGGACGTGCCGCGGCCAGTTGCCGGGCGCGGGCCCTGGAAGCGACAGGGTCACCCCCCCCCTTTCGCAGAACGTTTCGGAGCTCCGCGCGGATGTCTTGGTTCGGCGCTGTGCTTGGGCGTCGCTAATGGAGGTGCACTTGTCGAGCCCTAAAAGCCCCCCTTCGGGCCCTGAAGGGCCCATTTAGGGGCCCGAAAGGGTGCCTTCTTTGCAGACCTCGCTGCCCCTTCCCCCATTCATGGCCCACCACCCCCCCAGTACGCGACGCCCACTCGACGCCCACTGGGCCCCCGCCAGGGGTGGCGCCAAAGGCGCCGCGAGGGGGATCCAGCGCACATGCAAGACATCTGCGCGGAGCTCCGAAAATCTAGGTCTGCGCTGTTGCTTCCTCTCCTCCGACACCCGAAGGCCATCACTTGCGCAGGTAGCTCCTGGGCTGGTGGTCCGCCTGGCGCAGGGCACTGTCCCTGCTCGAGCTCGAGTTGCTCACCGAGGCGCCCAGCTGCGACATGATCAGAGCCGCGTCGATCTTGGAGGGCCCGCCTACCTGGTTGGCCACCGCGAAGCCGATCTGCTCGTTCACGTTGTCGTAGACGGTGTAGAACTTCTCCAGGAACGGGATCCCGAAGATGAAGAGCGGACCTGTGGGCGGGGGGATGTCGAGACTCATCACGGAGACCTCGCAACTGCCATCACCTTCGTCGACGTAATCCTTCGGCTCGAGGTTCATGATCACCC